TTAATTTCTTTCAATTGCTCAGACTTGACGGCACTGTACGATGTGGCTCTCTCACTATCCTCGCTTTTAGCCATCTTCACCTCCACCCTTGGTGGTTGCAGCCTCAGTCACTGTTTTGAGCCCGTAAAGCATCTGCAGTGCCCAGCGGTTTTTGTTCTGAAGACCGCACACGTCAATAGCTGCCACACGACCTTGCAAGGTATCCCATAATAAAGTGCTGAACAACCCAAGTCCCTCTAGTTCGGCAAGTTCGTTCTACTCTAGTGATGGGAGATCCAGCAGCAAGAGCAAACACCAAGCCAATTGAAACGCAGTTATGTAGACGACCCCTCCATTCCACAGAGGGACAACAACAACATTATCAACAACAGCAGCAAACAACAACAGGAGCAGGAGCAACAACTGGCAAACTGATAAAGGTTATCGGAAACATCTTCAATACGCGAGATACCCAAAGAACATCCTTATCATCAGCGCGTCCCGATACGTAGACAGCACATAATAATAGGTCTGTATTATTCTCTATATCTTGTACATGCACATCTGACTCTGCGTGTAGAAGTTGAGTATACAGCCTGACGCGTAACCAAACTACAAGTTTCATCGGATTTCGTGGGATCGCTTTTCTTTTTGGAGTGGACGTATTGAGACCAAAACCTGGAACTGAATCGATTGCGAGAGGTGAGTTTTCCTGATGACGATGATGAAGCGTACAGTAAAGTTGATGAGAGTTTTCGTGTTTACCCCGTTTTCTACTTTTCAGATTCGGTCGGTATCCTCATACCAAACGTATGCTGGTTAATAATCTGCCACTATGATCCTAACTGTAGTGCTTCAATCTGATCTGAGGCTGATGCAAGCTCATGAATGACGTGACAAGATTGTAAACGTAGCCAAATCATTATTGTTGAAGTAAAAGCCACAGAGTGACTTTGACTTTGACGCCACGAAGAAAGCTCTAAGCCACAATTATTTTCACAGCCCGGCGGCAGCAATAGTCAACGGATATTTTGTGAATAGTATAAAATAATAAAGCGGCTTATCGTGTTGTAAACAGCATTTGAATCTCATCTCCCTTTGCATGAAACCACATGAGATCATCAATCCCCTCAGCCTCAATTAACGCGTAAACACAGTCGAAGTGATGCCCCATGATCGTTTTTATTCTTGCTATCACAATATGTCCTTGGGTTTGAAAAGCGTTCTTCATTAATTCGCATCTACGCCAATTAGCTTGCAAGATTAATATACCTTCTTTTACATTGCATAAACTACTATAACAAAAGCCACATCAACGACGGCGGTGCTCATGCATTTGTCCCAGAAGGAAAAAGAGATATCAAATCTACCTAAATTACATTGCTGTTAGCGAATGTTAGTAATTAAATTAAAATTAATTACTTCTACAGATAGCGTTCGCATTCCCGGTATGATCTATTATGGAAGCATAATAATCAAACTAGACCCAAAGGAAACTCATCATCCGTAACCAAAAATTCTCCCCGATTTGAGAATTTCCATTTTTCACTTTTAAACAGTGCAAAAGTAATGCAAGAGAAGCGAGCAGCGCTTTTCTGGTTATAGTAGACGTTTTATATCTAAAGTTCGCGTCACTATAAGACATGATATAAACTGTCCAATACTTTAAAAGTCAATGTCGAAAACAAAAAAAAATGTTAGAAGGGAAAAGGTGCGTCAACTAATATAAACGCAGTTATGTAAATTTTTGTTTATGATAATAAACCTGCTATGTTTGTTTTTAAAGATGACGTATTAGTATATATATAGGAAATTAATGTAACAGTGTATTATCAATGTCAGATTTCCAATTTTTAACACCAGAAGACTCTGTGTTTTGAGGCGTTATGCTTTTTCTCTGAAGGTGTTATTGCTAGTAGAGATTCTCGAATATAGATCTATGTGTTGAGGCGTTATGCTATTCCTGTGACAAGGAGTGAGGTGTCATGCTTAAGGCGTTATGTTACAGTCTAGATCTATGTTTACTATTATATTCTGATTTTTACCAAGATGCAAATTCTAAGTGGATAAATTTTATTATTTTTCAGATACATAGCGAATCAGAAAATGCTAGAGAATCGAATGAAATAAATGATGCTATCAGAAGGAGTACGCGGATCCTAGGCCATTTAATGCGAGTCATCACATTATTTCTTTGCTCTCACAAGTTTTCTATAACTAATTTGTTCTAATAACTAATGATTTCTTTGGAATTCACTCTTTCTCTGCCTGAAGTAAATTTCCTACATCTATTATACAGATCATAAGTTCCGCATGAGAACTTTCCCGAGATTGAATAATTTCGAATCTACAGCATAAATTCGGTGGATCAGCAACTGGTGTAAAAAAAAATGAACATTATCGATTCACACTTATCACTACGATTAATTTTTACAACATTCCATTCCGCCTCATATGCAAGAAATTTATTGTTTAATTTTTTCATCACAAGTACGTACAATACTACATAGAGAAGTATTACCGGAAAATTTATTTAGATACTGATAGTTAGTATTAGAGATTTCTCGGTAAAGATCAAAATGCTGACATATAACGTGTTTGGAACATCTATAGAGGTGGGAAATCGATTAATATCGTGATGACGTGTTTCAAAAAGCTAGCCGGGCAATAAAACAAACATACCTTGTTATCACTTTGCGGAATATACTTGTTCGTTGGAATGATAATATTGATAACGTAAATAGTAAGTTTATTTCGCTTGATTTTTCGTTTTGCTTGCACGAGGCAGGTAAAAGGATTCACTAACAGGGACATCACCATTTTATGTAATTTGCAGGATCGATTTTGGTATACGCTTTTTGGGGGAGATTACGTTAATATGATCGCATTACGAAATCTAATCAACTTACAGTAACAGTAAAAAGAAATTTACGCTATCCCGATGAAGTTATGATCCCAATAATTCGACAAGGGGTTTATTATATATATGTAAGTTCTAGTCTCACAAAGTGAGACAAAGTGAACATTTGATTATGTGACATAAATGAGAGGCTGATTATGATGTAGCTGTAAATTGACCAGTGTGACTGATGACATTTTGATGGTGCTCTATGGACTTGTTAATTTTAATGTTCAATTTATCATACCAGAATGTGATGAATATAAACCATAACATGATTAATTCTATATAAAATATATAAATATGAAACTAATTTACATCAAATCCACTATGGAACCCAAGAATTACAGCACTATTAGAAGCATTCTAAAAAAAGCTCAAGGAGAAAAAATTGCGCCTTACGTTTTTAAATCAATGATACGCAAACACTCCAGAATTATTTAGATAAAGACGAAAATAATAAACCATAAACGAACCTTAACCCCAACTTATGATGAACCCGAAAATTTGAAGAAATTTAACGTAAAAGCTTCCCACAAAGGCCTCCATTTATCAAGTAACTGTCAACGAAAGATCGTTCTTTATTGTTCTAGTCTTGATGAAATACTGCTCGAGTGCATTCGTTAAGTGTTGATTCGCGTTGACACAATTGCAAGCAATCAAAGAGTCAAATAATTCAATTTTCGTAAGCATGAAATTTTATTATTTTGATTATTAAATGCGCACTCTTGAAAATACAAACAATACTAAATGCACCAGCGTGATTGAAAATACTCAGACCCAAAGCCATTTATGAGTATAACCTATTCTTTGGTCACTCCCGGTACAAATTTTAAATTTCATTGTCTTTTATACTATTGCTGTTATTAATAATATTATCACTATTATCTATTTCTTCATCTGAGTAGTTTCCGTTTCCTTCTTTTCTTCGTCGATCCAACGTTGGATTGCTTCGATCGTCTTTTTCCGCGGAGTTGTTCGTCCAAGGTAAAAATTTCTTATTGTTGATGCAGCGATGGTCTTTCGTTTACTCAGCAATTTGGAAATTCAAACGATTCGTTTATCGTATAATTGTCCCACAACATTGCTGTTCGCCGATGGTTTCGTTTTTGGCAACTTTCTGGACTTTATGATCTTGGTTAATAGTCCCATGTTGTGGAGTTGGTTATTATAAATTATGCCATTAAGCAACAGGCCGAGAACGAAACCAGTGAATACTCCGAAAAAGAATTCACTTATGAATTTAAGCATTTTTCGTTGTCTTGTCGTGGAAATTGACAGATTTGTTTTAAACAATGTATTATTTCAACGATATTTATTGCGTTGTGGTTAATTTCTGAAGTAAGTTAACCAGTGCTGTTTTTATAATAAAATATTCGTTTGTTCATCATACGCTGCGGACGATTATTAGACAAACGCGAATTTCTGCGCATAATAGGTAGGTCAGACACCGCGCAGCACATCTTCCCCATCGAAAATGACAAGCGTTGAAGACACGAAAACTGTTGGGGAAGGCGGAGTTGCAACTGCAGAAGGCGAAGGACGAGTTAAAGACGTTTCAGAACGCGGAATTGGAGGGACAATGGCTGAACGACTTGAGGAAAAAGTTGCGAGCTGGAACCATTACCAATAGGGAAGACAGAGAGCGGCGTAGGCTAGAGAACGAAGAGAAGAGGCTGAAGGATGCCGTGGAGACGACACGCCAAGTGTGGACGAAGGCATTTGATGACGTGCGGAGGAAGGATGACCAACAGACGCAGGAAGTTCTGCCAGGTAACGACTTTGTGACTCGGCGTTGGGCGTAGAGTAGAGCATAGAAAATATGCAAAATTAATTTTTCTCTCGCGCGTAGTCATGGTCTCGAGTAGCGACAGTGCCCAAGTCAAACGGCGGAAACTGGACGATGGTTACCAGTACTTCACTTTTGTGTGATTTTCTTTTTAATTAGACTAATGTAGGTGGTCCATCAAATGGTGCAAAACCTAAAAAATTTCGTGAGAAACAACAGAAAGATCCAACAGTTTACAATGGCAGGCCATTTGAGCGTACTGGTCCGCCAATTGCTCTTTATAATGAAATCTTTGGCAGGTTTATTCAAGAATCGAATGACGAAAACCTGGTAATGACCGCTGATCATTACAAGTGGACCGTCAGAATTGTACGACAGTGAAGATGATCGCCTAGAAGCTGTTCACGACAAACTAGCAACGCTGTTGGGGCCAATA